ACTTCATTCTACTTGCCAGATGACATTTTGATTTGACTCAGCCTGGCAACCTACTCTGTTCCTCCAGCGATGGGGTATTTGAAGAAGTAGAGCGTGCCTGGCTCCTCTGAATACTCCACCTCCTGATTCGCAAAATGGAGAAGGAATGTGTGTGGGAGAGGGAACGGGGGAGAGGGAAGGAGGGGCCAGGGCCAGCAGGGGGGAGAGGAGAAGTGGGAGAGGAAAGGAGGAGGAGAGGGGGAGTTGAAGGACTGGGACGAAGATATTGAAAGAGATTATGAAGATGACGAGTGCCCATACCATAACAAGGAAACGCACTGGGAAGGTCCGAAAAGGAAGGGTTACTAACTGACCATGTACGTGCCTGGTGGGCTGTGACTTTTGAATTGAGACGTCTCACCACTAGTCCTCCCTCCTAGGGTCACCGGACCAGACACATTTTCGAGACGCCTCAAATGGACTTGATATCTCAATGCTAGTCCCAGGCTCACCAGATCAGACACAGCGGTCTGCAGGAAGGGAGACCAGTTGACCATGTACGTGCCTGGTGGGGGGTGAGTAGAGGTGGGCCGTGAGTAGAGGTGGATGGGAGTTGGGTAGAGTGGATGAGTTGGTTTGGGGGGTTTGATTTGACGAGGGAAGGAGGGAGGCTGTGGTGGATGAAAAAGAGGTGAACCTTGTGTTGTGGACAGTTCGTTCGTTCACACTGCCTGGAAGAAAAACACTCGGAAAGGCATTAGCATGTTCCCAAAGACAAAGGCGACTCAGCGGCGGGGGTGTGGGGGCGATTTAGGGGTGCGAGACCAACCGCGGTAGATGAGCCCCTTGTTGTGCAGGCGGACAAACGCCTCCACCACAGCCTCTGGCAGGAGGTGGGAAGGTAGGGGATGGAAAACCGAGAGGTACAAACTGTGCGAGCGTGGCAAAGGGGATAATCGGATCGGAAGGAAGGAAAAGAGAAGACGTGAGATGGGAATGTAGCATGGCCAAGCTTGAGTGAAAAGGAGGACATAATGACGAGCAATGGGCCATCTCTGACGGACCGAGCGGCCGGTAAGAAGAGAGAGACTGCATGGGGATGGGCATGGAGGGGGTAATCTTTTGGTAGTGACAGTGGGGATGGTGGGAATGGTGGGGTGTGTGTGGTGGGGGGCTTGGCTTGGGGATGGTGTGCAGTGGGAATGGTGGTGGAAGTTGGGGGCTGGAATGGGACGACTCACTGCTGAGTTGATCATCCAGGGTGAACCTCTCTCTCGACCAATCACAGGAGGCGCCGAGCCTGCGGATCTGCTTCGCAATTGTGCCACCATATCTGTCAATGCCACACCATTCCGAAACACATAAGTACACAGATACAGTATAGTGGGTACTAGTAATATGAGCTAGAATGTGCACATCAACCAAGACAAACAAATGAAACAGTTCCAGTGCACATTGTATCCTTCCACCCACACTCACTTCTCCTTACGCTCCCACACTCACTTCTCCTTACGCTCCCACACTCACTTCTCCTTACGCTCCCACACTCACTTCTCCTTCCACTCCCACACTCACTTCTCCTTCCACTCCAACACTCGCTTCTCCTTCCACTCCAACACTCGCTTCTCCTTCCACTCCCACACTCAGTTCTCCTTCCACTCCCACACTCACTTCTCCTTCCACTCCCACACTCACTTCTCCTTCCACTCCCACACGCGCTTCACAAATTCTTCTCGGCCCAGCTCCTTTCGGCTGATCCCCTCAGATGCCAGCATCTTCTCCACCACCAGCTGGGAGGGGCAAAGGGAGGGGCGCACAGAGGATTACACAGGTAATTTCTGGGTGGCTCAAGAGCCCGTTCTTCCTTCAAAAGCCCCCTCAGAGGCCAGCATCTTTTCCACCACCAGCTGTGAGGGGCGAAGGGCCGAAGGGAGGGACACACGGAGAAAGGGAGGGGAGAATGTGCACCACACAGAGAAAGGGGATGTGCATTCATAATGGTGGTTAACAGATTCACGAGTTTCTCTATTCAAATTCCCTCATATGCCAGCATCTTCTCCACCACAAACTACGGAGGGCGAAAGGAGGGACACACAGAGTGAGGGAGTATGATATGATTGCACAATGTTACGTGAGATGAACAGGGAACCTGTTGCTGCCATGCCAACCGCTGGAGGTTCAACCTTATCCCGACTTACTTGCCTGGACGCCCAACACACCTAAACGACAATCCCCCACATGCTCCGCAAGTGAGGTTGCTTCTGACAATATTGAAATCACTCGCTTGAGTTTGCAACACACCTGAGTGGCGATGCCTGCATGGTCCGTGCCTGGCAGCCAGAGGGTGGGACGCCCCTTCATGCGCCAGAACCGAGCCATAATGTCCTGGTGCCGCACACAAGGGTGATTGGGAGAAGGAGAGCGGGGGAATGCGGATCAGGAAAAGTTTGTGACACCCCTTCATGCGCCAGAACCAAGCCATGATGTCCCCGTGGCCGCACACAAGAGTGGAGGGGAGAAAGTGGACAGGGGAACGCAGAGCAAGAAGGGTTTGAGACGCCTCAAGATGAGCCAGAACCAAGCCATTGATGTTCTGATGGTGGTGGGTAGAACACAGAGGATCCGCTTGGCAGTAACATACATGTGTTGATGTATTGCTGGTACTGGATATGCTGCGCTGGATTGGGATAGCATGCTGTGCGTAGGACTGCTTGTTCTTTAAGTGAGTCATACGTACCTCGAGAGTGGCGAACTGCCCCTGCCGCCATGCTGTAAAGTCACACTGCTGTTACATGCTGAAAATCTACCCCATTACCCACCTCGAGAGTGACGAACATGGCATGGCCCATATGCAGGGCGCCAGTCACGTTGGGAGGGGGCATGGAGATGACAAACGGAGTGCTAATGTCAGCCTTATCACTGCTGTCACCAGCACCAGCAGCTGCGCCTGATTGCAGAGCGGACTCGTCTGGCTTGAAGTACCCACTGCCCTCCCACCTGCCAGCATCAACCAGGTACAGTCAGCAGGAGATACAAGGGGGGAATCTTAGTGTCTCTCCCTGATTCTCACCAAGCAAGTCGAATCCTGCGCCTGACAGGTGCATACTCTGCTCATTTTCATCTCTATCTCGCCACTGACCAGGCTGATATCCGCTCGTCCTAGCCAAGTCCCTCTCATCACAACCATCCACTGTCCAGGCGTACATCCTCCAATCTCTGCCGTCAAATAAACAATATACATATTCTCTCACCTCATCTCAACCGTCGACTGACCTGGAAGAGGTCCAATCCTCTCGGCCGTCCATTGTAAAAAAAAACTACAAATCCTTTCATCAGCCATCTACTGTCCAAGCACGTTGCACTGACCAGGCATAGATTTTCTCCTCTGCAGAGAAGTCAAAGGCCTTAGGAAGAACGGAGGGAAACACGTCCTCCCCTGCAGCTCCCTCATTGCCCACCAGAGAAGCAAGCGTTCTTACTGTCTCAGTCCAGGAAAAAGTGTGGGAGAAGTGAAAGCGGGAAAGCACAGTGAGACGAAGTTGCAAAACATCTGAGGTGAATTGGAAGGAAGCGACATGATGCCTTGCTCTTGCCCTTGGACAACATTCAATCTCATCTGATAATGAACTGCTACACCTGGGTTCGTCTGGTGACATTGACTCTGAATTGCATTCTTCTTTCTTCCTACGATGACGATTTTCACTATTGTTGAAACCCTTCACCTAAGCTCGCGCATTAAGCTCGCGAAAAATGCGCCATCCGCTAAATTTCGATTTCATGCTGACATGCAGACACTATCGACCTCGTCCCTCTCATTCCAACCTGGTCTAACGCCGGAATGCACGGAGCACGGCTTCGCGTGGCGTGACGGCCGAGTCACAAGCGAGCTCAGCGAATTTGACGACGTTCCCAGCCAGATGCTTCTTCCAGCGCCAACACGAGGAAAGCTGCTTAATCGACGAGAAATCGGCGATACGTTAGTGCTCAACGCTGGTGATCTGATGACGCACTGGGAGCTGACACCGTGACAGATGTGTCGCACCATCATGGAATGGGTGGAGCACGAAGGGGTGGCCGTTCGGGTGACGGACGACGGAGAAATTGAGGGACTACGTCCCCGGAAAGCGGACGAGGGTATGGTGGAGCGGGAGGTTGTAAGGGCTACGTGAGAGCACAGCGAGGCTGCATTCCCGCGAATGGTCGAGGTAGCGGGCCTCATTGCACCCCACACCACAACGAGTTCGTGAAGCTAGCTGCGAGCGAAGGAACTTCACGGGCAAGCTAGTCCGGTGCCGACGCGGACCGGCAACCTGAGGTTCTCGAGAATCTCAGCAAGTGCAGGTTTGGAAATGTAGTTATCGCTGAGGGAAGTGACCCGATTTGATCAGGCGTTGCCTGAAGGCAGTGAAGTGAAGTGTTTTATTACCAGGTTTGAAAGTATTTTCCAAGGTTTGGAATTCGGTACAAGACAGTTTAGCAACAAAATTGCTGGGAGGCGTCCTTGGGACCAAGCGGATAGGGAAGTGGGTGCTGCTGCGGTCGACGGGTGGATTGGTGGCGGAGCGGAGGTGGTGGGTGATGCCCGCCTGACAATCCCTTGGTGACATGTGCACAGCAGGGAATGGACAAGTGGTGGATGACGTGTCAGAATTTCTCATTTGCAGGTATCAAACCAATTGATTTGAACTACGTAAGCATGTAACATTTGTTTGTAATCTCACCCCACTCAATCTAAACTAAATCGAGTTCGCTCCGTTACGGGTACCGCCGCCGAAGAGCTGCTTCTTTCTGCCCACACAATACCTAAACTTCCTTCAGCCGTCTCGACTTCGACATTCGTCCAGCTTGCTCGTTCTCGGTGTCACTCTCTCCACGACATGGCGACCGACGAGCTCGGAGAATTTTACGTCAGGTACTACGTCGGTCACAAGGGCAAATTCGGCCATGAGTTTCTCGAGTTCGAGTTTAGACCAGATGGGAAACTGCGATACGCGAATAATTCGAACTACAAGAAGGACACTATGATCCGAAAGGAGGTGTTTGTGTCGGAAGCTGTTATGAGGGAGTGCAAACGGATTATCGCGGAGAGCGAGGTACGCTTTAGCTTCCCGCTCTTCCTGCATCTCGTTCCGACGGAGCAGCAGCCTTCGCGTTTAACGTTCCCCTTATTATTTCGCCGCTCGGCTTGGGGCCAAGGGTGCAGGTGACGAAGGAAGATGACAGCAACTGGCCAGAGCCGGACAGAGTGGGTCGTCAGGAGCTGGAGATTGTCATGGGAAATGAGCACGTATCGTTTCTCACTTCCAAGATCGGATCCCTAATCGACGTTCAGAGCAGCAAGGACCCAGAGGGCCTTAGGGTTTTCTACTATTTGGTGCAGGTACGCTTCTTAAAGCGCAAATAGCAGCTTAGTGCTGCGATTGGTTGCTGTGGTTTTTTTTTATCAGAGCTGCCGTTTGTTCCGTTCTGTTTTCCTCCTTCGCTCACTCCTCTGTCTCCTCTTCTGGTTTTCTGTGGCATCTCAGGATCTGAAGTGTCTAGTTTTCTCGTTAATAGTTCTTCATTTCAAGATCAAGCCAATTTAGCTGTAAGGTCAGTTTTTTGTATTACTACCATGTTCTTCGTAATCGAGGTTGTTTTGCTCTCATTGTTTGTTCATAGTGGAGTGTTAAGATCTTTATGTTGCTGCTCCGGTGGCCATCAGCCTTCGCGCTTTCATCAGCCTTCGGGTGGCCATCAGCCTTTCCTCTTGTTCTTTGTGCCCCTTCATCCTGCAGGCATATCATAATCAGTCGTTTTTTCCTTAATGCTAAGCTGGTCTTTGTGGGCCTAACATCTCTACTAGCAGAACTCAGTCCTGCGCTGGGACTACACTAAACACCATTGTCATTACCAGGGCAAACAGTCATGAACCTGTGTTGCTGTGTCGTCCTGGTCAACTAGGTACGGTCGTTTTTTCCTCAATCCATTTTCCTAAGGCCAAGTGAATGGGAAAATTTGCAACCCTGAAATATATGGCTGCGGAAAGTGCCTGTACAATGCTACTTGTACCCAGTGTAATGTTTGTCCTAACACAAATGCTAACGTATAGCTTCACTGAACATTGGTCATGCTTGTGTAACTAAGGGAGTATGAGATCACGAGATGAAAGGTAAGCCTTGTATATATTAAATCGTTAATGTGCTGACGTTGTAACGATACTGCTCGCTCACTATGGTGGAGCTTTTGCTGACCTGCCCTGCGATCCTTTTCCCGCCCGACAAGAAGGGTTGCCCGTTCTCTTTTGACCCCAGCCACGGCATGGAAGTGTGGTATGGTCCGTGTCACAACGGGGTTCCTGCAAAAATTCCCGCGTTGCCCGGATCGTATTAGACGTGGCAGTCACTGATACGGGACGGGACCCGTGTGGTGCGTGAAGCTCTGGAAGTTGTCGGAATGTGGCGCTTTGCATTTTTCCCGCGTGATTCGTATGTTCTTCGAGTACAGGAGAGGTAACATGTCCAATGAAAATACTTCTGCTAGCTGCGAGTATTTGTATCCTCTCGCCTTACTTCGCAGCCAAAGAAAGACTGTCCTTGCTCGCGGGAGATCGGTTCAGCGTGCGAAGATACCGTGGCCACATCATTTTGTTACACGAGGCTGTTGCGACTCGTCCTGATTGGAAGAGCAACAGAGTTGAGGGCGCAAGACTGATTCGAAAGTACTGCATGTGCGTTGCGCATGCCCCCCCCGCCAACACAGAAACGTCGTCAGTAGCTGACATTTGCGATGCGCGGGAGACGCACAAACTTCGCCAACTCGTGTTTTGCAGGGAGGGAAGATCGCGGAGGGGCCCGCGACAGATATCAAACACGTTCCAACGAGCGAGTGCGACGTGACGACGTGAACGAGGGGTCCATTTGTGTCAAGGGGGCTGATGGGCGACCTCTCTATCGAACCGACAGTTGGCGCAAGCCGTCGCAGCAGCCCATCAGAGAGCCATCGTTCGTAACCCCCCTACGGCCTAATGATGCAAACCAGATGGGCGACGAGACGAAGCGACGACGCGCATGGACGCTGACGAGGTATTTGAGACGAGCGATCTGCGGAGAAATGACGAGCTTGAACGTAAATCGGGTTCGTCAATTGTGAGCGCCGCTCATCGCCAACCATCCATCGCCGATTCATCCTCGATTTCGATCTCTCCCACACCAGTGAGCACAGACCAAGCCGCCGCTTTCCCTCCATCCAACTGTCTGTATTCCCTCCACCAGCTAGCTCCCTCCCACCCCTCATCTATTTCCCATCCATCCCATCCCATCCAATCCCGACTCTCCCTCCCTCTCCTCTCCCTCTCTCCCTCTCTCTCTCCCTCGTGCTCTCATTTCCTGCTTTGTCTTGGCTCGGCATCCCTGGTCCATCCCGCCTCTTCCCGCCATCGACATTGTCGGAGGGCGCATAAGCAGCAGAGCGCTCGGAACTACCTCGCCGCAGTAGTACTTCTATCGAACAGCATCATTTGTTCATTTCAATGCTCCTGGCCGTCGTTGTAGCTTGTGCTCTATCCAAATCCTTCCTCGAACGTAACGGATCCGAACACTAGTTGAGCGTCAAGCGTCATATAGCCTCCTTCGATCTCCGTATATGTGCAGCAGCTTTAGCGGATTCGAATCGTCGTGAGTTTCCCGTGACTGAACGTGTTATTTCTCCCTTGACGTACTATCTTTTTGGTGAATCGGAAGCCATGGGTAAAGGAGGATCCTTCTCCTTGCCGGATCAGCTTCTGGAAGTCAGCGCTTTCAAGACGCTAGAAATAGACCCTGACAATCTCTGCGAGAGGCCGAGAATCCTCGATGTCCTCGCTACAATCTTGGAGCGGATCATGGCTGCCAACGAAGCGAGCAGCCAGTGCGCGAATCAGAAGCTTACCGTGTTTCACGGTCTGCAAGCACCCGGCATCGGCCTTGACAAGTACCTGGATAGGATCTTCAAGTACGCGAACTGCAGCTACTCGTGCTTCGTGGTGGCGTATATTTATGTCGACCGGATGATCGAGCGACAGCCGGACATGCTTCTGACGAATCTGAACATTCATCGGCTGCTCGTCACCAGCGTCATGGTCGCCACCAAGTTCTTTGACGACGCGTGAGTTACATTTGTTTTTTTTTTTTTCATTTTATTTGTACAAAAGTGTAACAACAGTCAGCGTGTCAGATTCACAACAGTGAGTGAGATTTATAACCGGTTCAATAACTCAACCAGCACTATTTGGATCTTCCATTCTTTTCCCCGAACAGATATTTCAATAACGCGTATTACGCCAAGGTCGGCGGCGTGACGACGGGCGAAATGAACCGGCTGGAGCTGGAGTTTCTCTTTCGCATCGATTTTCGCCTAAACATCACGTCCGACGATTTCGCGAGCTACTGCAAGCTACTGGAAGGCGAGCTATGGCGGATGCAATACCCCATGGACGATTTTCTCCCGTCGCTCCCCGCGTTCGAAGCAGCCGAGTCAGATTCCGAGGAATCTACAACATCTGACGTCATAGATCCGGCGACTGACCTTCTGGGATCTGAAGGTTCGGCGTCCGAACCTGCAGATTCAGACTCGGAAGGATCTGTGTCTGATGTTGCCGAGCATTCGGATTCTGACGTCACGGCGTCGTCCGACGTGGCGGATAAGAATGTTTGCTGTAAGCGGCAAAAGCATTGTGTGGAAGGAGAGTCGCCGGAGGAGCATTCAGATGTGCAAACGGCGCATAGAGCTCGGTGCTGTACGGTTTTGGAATGAGCAAGCAGCGACGGTGCTTTAGTGGACGGTCCTTCGGTCGACGGAGATTCGATCGACCGTGCCTTAGGGCATCGCAGCCATTCATGCAGCTGGGCCGTCTGGTTTTCCACATCATGGCGGGCCAAGCAGGCACAGAATATCCCCCTTACAAACATACGACCGTACCCTAGAAAAGGATGTTCATCAGACATCCTACGGTTACATTTACGGAGGTACTTGCAACCTTCTCGGAGTTACTAACAGCCGCCGACTAACCCCACCTCCTCCTCCATTTCCGCTCTCCAGCTCTGAATTCTGGATCCTCGTAGAGTGTCATACCCAGCCATTCCGGGGTGCTGCTAATCCTCTCTGGTACAGAATCCTCGCTATGATACCACGACGTACCCTCCACCACCCTTACGCCCATTTCTCAGTCTGTGTCCTCCCATGGTCTTATGACATTTCGCCCTTCAGGGGTGGTGGTTCCACCTCACATACTTAGTTTTTTTGTTGTTACATGGGTTCTGTACAATATTAGGTCTCGTCTGAAGTCTCGAGTCTGTGAAAGGACCTTCTACTGACTTTCTGCTTTGATGTAATAAGGTTGCTACCATAATGTGCTTCATTTTTTCAAATATTTCATTATGATCAGCAGCTGGGATGGATGCATATGCAGTTTTGCACAGGGAGAGTATTCACTACGCAATTTCCCAGTCATACCCTGTGCTGACCTAAAGGTCTTACTATAATTTGGTCTGAATAAACTCACTTCACCCAGAAGTTGGAATGGATGGAGGGTTTCGGCCATGATGGATAAGGTACTCACATGCTCACTTATTTTTGCTTGCAATAGTAGAGTAACCTCAACACAACAATCCAGAAAGAAGTTCCACATCCCATTCCCAGATCCCAGCATCAGCATATTGGGTTGGCTGGACCATACACAAGAGATCTAGGCTGGTCGTTTGCAACTTCAGGCAGGGTTTGATTGGTAGCTTTGGCACAAGTTGTTCAGCACCTAGCAACCCAGGTACACCCAGATTTTCTCTGCACGAATCAATCCTTACTTTGGTTGAGCCCGTGCATGCTGAAGCTCCTCTGTCTTCTCCTTGAGAGTCTCTCTCAGCACTTGCACCTGAAACATACCGAGAGCGAACTCAGGAAAATACATGAAGATCAGAATGGCAGAAAGCAAAGCCCTTGGATAAACCCTTCCATAAAAATTCTCTTAAGCCAAAGTGGAAGCACTGACTTTCTCTGGCAGCCCACCTGTTGCTGCAGAGCTGTTAGTCGGGCCTTTCCCATTTGAACAATGTTCTTGGTTGTCATGCGCTCTCTAGTCGCCGCCACCCCAACCCTGTACGCATCTTCAGCTTGCTTCAGCTCCTCCCTCACCCTCGCCTCTGCCCCCACTGCTGCTTCTCTTAAAGCCTTGGCTTCCTCTTTTGCGGAGATTAGTGCTGCTGAGAGGGATGCCACCTCAGCTGCCCGCGTGTTTTGCTCCCGGCGCAGCTCCATCCGCGTGGTTGCCAGCTCAGCCTTGATTTTCGGCATCTTCTGCATCATTTCCGCCAGCTGTGCCGCCCGCTCCTGCTGCTGCCGGCCCTCCTCTACCCTTCTCTCCTGAGCGTCTGCCAGCTCCTCGGTCAGCTGCTGAAAACTTTCCACGTTGACCGAATCCCGTTCCTTCCGGGCAGCCTCAAGAAGCTCCTCCAGCTCAGCAGCCAGGGCATCGTTCTCCTCTGCTTCCCGATTGGTCCGGTCCAGCTCAGCTTGGGACGATTCCAGGCTGGCACGGAGCTCCGCCAGGTAGGATTCTAGCTGCGCCACGCGGGAGGTGAGCTTCTGGGAATCTTCTGCAGAGGATGCCATCTGCTGCTGGTACTGCTGGCGCTCCTGCTGGTACCTGAATAGGCAGAATGTCATGGGAGGTAAGGGAAGGAACGAGAGAGGCTTGTTGCTGAGTACATACTTGAGTGGTTGAAAACACCCTGCGATTCAAGGTTGGGGATGAAAGGAGGACAGATGGTTCACAAAGTCTCAGCAGAAGCACAACAGGGACGATAACCTAGCAAACGGAACGCAGCAAAGACAGCAAACGAGGTGGCAGCATATTCACTCACGAC